ACACCCCGGATGCGGAGGGAAAAGCGATGGCAGCCAAAAGAGACCAAGCTGGGAGCCGCTGGTCCCGGCTGAGAGCTGCCCCTTGCTGCCTCAGCCCCCCCCTTCACCTCTCTGCGCATTCGGAAAAGGCTGGTCAGGGTTTCGCCTTGCTGGCGTGGAAAAACACGCAGCCACCCAAGAAACTCTGACACGGTGCTGGGCCAAGGCAGGGGAGCGGGCCAGGGGGAGCCTTCGGCCTCGGGTCCACAGGGTCATCCCTGGCCCCTCTTATAAAATAGGCGAAAAAGGAGGTGGTGGGGAGGGGGCAGGATGGGGCACGGGGACAGGAGGGTGTTATTTGCTTTTTTTTTCTCTCTTTTTTTTTTTTCAGGTGCTAAAAATATTATCAGGAAATTCTTTTCAGGAATGCGCTGTTTTAAGTCAGGCGGCGGGCTCAAGGGCCTCTTTGTCTGCGCCGGGGGAAAGAAAGAGAGAGAAAAAAAAAGCAAAAAGCAAAAATAAAAGCCACATTTATCATGGGCAAACCATTCTATCAAGAAAGCTTGAGGTCCCCCCAGCAAAACAGGGTGGGAGAGCGAGGGCCAGGCCCAGAGGAGGGAGAAATCCTGTTGTAAAGCCAGGGTTTTGGGAAGGAATCTCCCTAGGTTCCCCTTTCCATGGATTAGCTGCTGTGCCAGGCTCCAGAGTGTCCCCAGCCAGGGGGTCCTGGCTGGACCCTTCGTCACTTCCCGCACCCCGTTTCCAAGCCAGGAGGCAGCTCTGTGCAAAATCTCCCTTGCTCCATGGAATAACCAGGAAAAGCAGGGGGATATGAGGGGTCAATGCGGATGATTCCTCCCGGAAGGCAGGAAAGGGAAGAGGAAAAGCTGCAGGGAGAGCCTGGTCTTCAACGTGGGGCAGGTCTGCTGGCCATGTCCTTCTTGGTCCATGTGGGGACGTCGGCAGTTCCCGAGGCTTGGAAGGCACCGAAACGCAAACCCCGGTTCCAAAGAGTTTATGTTTTATTCCATACAACTGCAATATAAATAGGCTCCGCCGTAATTATTGCAAGGTACATTTTAATACTGAAAGCGGGCCAAGGAACATATTATGTAAGGATTGAAGCGGGGGAGAAAACAACAGCAGGACTCAGTTAGGATCAACAGCCCAGGGATTATGTGGATACCACCGTGGAAAGTTCGCCTCACGGGGACCCGGCGTTGCCATCAGCGTGGGGCACTCTGCGGCTTCCCAAATCCTCGCCCACGCGCGGGCCCCAAATGCGGCCCGCAGACCCGAAACACGGCTGTCGCGCGTGCTGCCCTCCTTTAAGGTGAAACAAAGCAGGCTTGGAGCAAAAATATAAGGAAAAAGAAGGGAGGAAAAAGCTTCCCCCAAGCATTCATAGAGAAAAAATGTGGATTAGTGCTGACAGGTGAAGGGTGCAGCAGTCCCAGGGTGGCCCTTGTGGTGGCTGAGGGGCTCCTGCCTGCTCCCGCTTTGATTTCTATGGGGATTTTCTAGGTGAAGAGGGGGTAGGATGCCCAGTTTTGCACTTCTGCTTGTTCCGGGCCGGCGCGCTGCGAGCTGGCCTGGCTCGGATGGATCCCAGCCGCCTGCCACGGTGGGAAAAGGCCAGTGGGAAAAGACAGCGAAGAAGAAGGCAGAGAAGCCCAGCTGGGGGCCTGCCAGGCAGCTGCCCGCGGGAGGCAGTGGGTGCTTGGCCTTACCAGCAGCCCGCAGCTATTTCCAGGTCATTTCCCTGTCTGGAGCAGCAGAGGGATGGGTGCCTGTCCCCTCTGCTTGTCTTGGTCCAGCTCCTCGGAGCCTGTCCGGGCTTGAACTCCTCTCAGTGGGTGCTCCGAGGGTCCTTCCCGCGGCTCCAAGGCCTCGACGGGCTGCCTGGGGGCTCCCTGCAGCTCCTGCTTGGGCACCGGGAGCTGCCGCAAGCAGCTCTGCTCCACCTCCGCCATGGGCACCTGGAGAAAGGAGAGGGGTTGGCCTCACAGCAGGGACGAATCCATGGCAGATGCTGCTGGGCAAGAGGAGGCGTTGGGTAGGGTCTGGCACGTCACTAAGGGGTGACAAGGACAAGTGAGGGGTTGCCCTGGCTCCCAGCTCTGTGGGGAGCTCCATGGGCTGCCGGCAGCCCCACGGCTGGAGCTGACACATCCAACTCATGGAGACATGACAAGGGACTTGGGGGACAGGACACCCCCGGACTGCCAGTGACGCGGGGCAACATCCCGTTGCCAAACAGCTTCCCTGAAGACCAACTCCAAGCGGGCACTGAGCCCATGGGACCTGCGCTGTGCCTGGCCCGGCTGCGT